GAGAGGCCTGTCCGCTTCGATCCGATCCGCAGTCACATGACAAACGCGTGAATTGGGCGGCTGAGTTCTGGGTGACAAGCGAAACGTGTGAATAGGCGAGTCGCACGACTCGGTTCGAATGGTAATTGATGGGTTGCCAACATTTCCGTGGGATGTGCACGGGTACGTTCTAAAAACAGCACGCAATGGGACTAATTTTAAATGGAACTCTTTCGGGAAGACAGAGTGCTGGCTATTCCGGGATTGTATAATTGATGGCCCTTGCTTATAGGCGATCTACTATCAACGCCACTCGAAGATAAAGCCGAAGTGTATGGGCATTAATAAAAGTATACGGCAGTTTCCGCTCGATCAGACAAAAGCCGCGACTCCAAAAGTCGGGAAAACCACTGGCCGATAAGCCGCTGCAGCTGGTACAAAGGTGTGAATAGCGATTTCCCCTGTTCAATTAGTGAGCTTCGCTACGGCTAATCGTAAATAACAGAGATTACTCCGATGTCTAGACTATAAATACAGTCGGGTGGCTAATTATATGTACGAACTGGCTACGGCGCACTCACCTATGAAGTTCAGCTTGTCGGTGGCCAGATTGCAGAAGTCGGGATCGTCCACATCGAAGATGATGCCATCCTCCCACTCGGTGACAATATGCGACGAGGAGACGGAAACGGAAGTGGCGGCGCGTTGCTGCTGCTGCTGTTGCACCATGGAGCTATTGTTGTTGTTGCTGCTGCCGCTGCTGGCGGAGATGTGGTTGTTGTTGCTGCCCGTTTTCATCTCCAAAAGGGAAAGAGAAACGCAATTAGAGGACTCGGCGGGTATGTACATACATATGTGGATACGTGCTGGCATGCAAACAGCAAAGTACACACGTGGCTTAAAGCGCAGCTTGTGTAGATAGACCAAGCAGCTGGGGAAAGGGAAAAGGGTTGATAACTCAGTTAGGAGGAGTGGGGGGAGGGGTGCAGGCACACAGCTGTTGCACACACACACAGATGCGCTCCCCTCGTTTCTTGCAACATTTATTCGCACAAGTGCAACATGCAAATCAATAGATGCAAGCTGCATTTTATTTGGGTGAAGGCTACATGTGTGTGTATTTGTATGCATGAGTGTGCAATTGCATTCGCTGCTTGTGTTTGTTGCTGTTATTGCATTTGCCTTGCAAATTTTGTTTGGCCCCATGCATGTGTGTTTGTATGGAAATACCTGAAATCCGTGCTACTTCTGTTGGCCAGTAAATTCACTCACCTTTTTGCTTGCAGCACGTTCAGTCGACCAGCTTAAAGTTAAATATCCAAATTTAAGCCCACGCAGCCGAATTTTAAGTTAAATTTGGATAAAATTTCTGCAAAACAAAACTTTGCTTGCAAATTGCTGGCAACTAGAGGTGGTAAGCTGCCGATTTTTGTAGTTGGCAACACCAATCGATAGACAAAAAACGTTATGCATTCAAAAATTATGAATATATGCAATGTGAAATGTGTGTTCTGTTAATATTTTAAAAGTAATATGGTAATTTAAAAATAGTTTGCTTGGATCCTCTTATATAATATAATACTAATAATAATAATTAGTATCCCTGTCTTAAATTGTTCTTAATGTTAATTTAACTTAATTTTGTTTATAAATATGTTCTAATCTATTTTACCTTGCTGATGGGTAGCATTTATTATAACTTTGTAATCATTTTGAACAATTTATTACAAATATCTTAAAACATTTGTATTGTAAGTTTGTATCACACATATTAATTATAATAGAATATCACCAAAGTAGGCACGTGCACACTGCCATCTCTAACGTTCGCCGTGGCAACCGTAAGCACCTCCCATCGCTATAAACGTAACCATCATAACGTAACCAAAATTCGATCAAAATAAATTCGGAATATCACAAAAATCATTATTCGCACCTGAAACGGAGAGAAAATGCACCAGCCTGGCCTTCTGCAGCTGAATAGAGTGCATTAGGGCAGCATTTCGAATCGGAAACGTAGGAACTAGCCCACAGCGAAGCCATGGAGGAGAATATGTGGTAAATAATAAACATTGGGTTGGGGCTACGTCAACAACTAAGATTAGTCAGAGAATCTAGACCTTCAGCTCCAGCATCTCATTTGCAGAATGAGTTATGGGGCCTGTTTTCCATCTGCAGCCATCGCCTTCGCTTTTCTCGAACAGACCACCATTTGGTTCGGTGATTGAGTCAGCAGCTATGTGCTGGGTTAGCGGGACGCGGGGCACCTGGGGGTGTGGGTGTGGGTGCTCCCGCCTTATCAGCAGCTGGTTATTTAGACACGTTGACGTCCCCTTCACCCGTTAGCATGAGAAAAACAAGCAAGACAAGCAACTGATTGCTAAACATCCATCTCTTGTATGCAGGATCATTGAGCTGGAGTCGGCACTGCTGGACGACTGCAATGTCAACGACATCTACGGCATATGCCAGGGCAAGGCTCTGCCGGAGGCACTGCGTCCGGACGTCTGGCAAGTGTGCCTGGATGTGCGCCACAAATCGGATCAAATGTCGCTCTTCAACGAGATCTACGACCTGCCCTTCCAGAGCCAACTGCGCGAGGATTGCCAGAGGCACGTCGATCGCATGGGCAACGATGAGGAGGACAAGGTCTCGGTGGTATCCGACCTCGAGTCCATCATCACCTTCTACTGCAAGAACAGAAACCTTCAGTATGAACCGGACAACGGATGGATTGAACTGCTGCTCCCGCTGTTCGCCCTGAAGCTGAATCGCTCCGACACATTCAACCTGTTCGAGTCCATACGGGATACCTACATACCCAAGGGTTGCCGGCCCAAGGGCAATGTCTTTCATGTCTTCCGATTGCTCTTGCTTTACCACGATCCGGAGCTTTGCACCCTGCTGGACACCAAGAAGATAACGCCCGATTTGTATTCGCTGACCTGGTTCCAGTCGCTATTCGCCTCCTGCAGCAGCCTGTCGGTGATCATTGCCATGTGGGATCTGTACTTCCAGAACGCCGATCCCTTCATGGTCTTCTTCCTGGCGCTAATAATCTTGATCAACGGTAGGGAGCAGATCCTGCAGATGAGAAGCTCGTCCAAGGAGGAGATCATCAAGTTCCTGGGCCTTATGCCGTGCGCTCTGGAGTTCGACGATGTCCCCGACTTTTGCTCCCTGGCCCAATACTATGCGCTCAAGACACCGACCTCCTTTAAGACGGACTATCTGAAGGCGCTGTACGGCAAGCAGAATGATACACCGCGCAGCCAGGAGGAGGCTAACAAGGTATCACAGGCCCTGTGCCTGCCCGTCTCCGTTTACGAGCTGGTAGAGAACTCGGCCATGGAGTTTCCTGTGCCGGATGCAGTGCGTTTCTTTCTCGTAGACTGCCGCCCGGCCGAGCAATACAATGCCGGCCACCTGTCCACGGCATTCCACCTGGACTGCAACCTCATGCTCCAGGAACCTGTCGCCTTTGCCACCGCCGTCCAGGGCCTCCTGACAGCCCAGCGGCAGGCAATCGAGGCCAACTCGAACGCCGGCGGCGAGCATCTGTGCTTTATGGGCAGCGGTCGCGTCGAGGAGGACCAGTACACACACATGGTGGTGGCCTCATTCCTGCAGAAGAACACCCACTACGTGTCGCTGCTGACCGGTGGCTACGCCTCCATCCACGACTACTTCGGCGATCACATGGCTGATTGCCTGGAGGATCACAATGTGCGCAAGTGCCTCGTCTGCCAGCAGTACAACGTTCAGCAGGTAAGACCAGATAACACTTTCAACTTTCGACTCTGAATCGAATTCATTTACTTATGATTTCTCCATTCCGCTCCCGCAGACAAAATCAGCGCCGCTTAAGACTTCGACGCCATCCTCTACAGACCTTTTCAGCAAGTTCTCCGCCGCCATGAAGTCAAAGTCTGCTGAGGTCAAGGGCAAACTACTGGACATCATCGTGAATCCCAGTGCAAACGGCGGAGCCTCGGCAAGCGGCTCAAATGGTGTGCAATCGGCGCCGGTACAAGAACGCCATGTTAGTGCGAAGGAGCGGAACGGCAAGCGCTACCGCAACGTGGCACCTGTTTTCAGCATCGACGACGAGAACGAGGATGCCTTCGATGGGGCGGGGGAACGCGATGACCCACCGCTGACCGGCGACGGCAAGGAGATCGTGAATCTGAACCAGTACTTCAAGACGGCGGACATAACCAACGCCTTCAAGTGCCAGGAGGTGCACATGAGCGGCTACATGTACGACAGTCACTTGATCATCACGCCCGGGCAGCTGGTGGTGCTGCGGGAACTGGGACGCGGCCAGGCGCAGATAATGGTGCGTCGCCCACTGGCCAGCATCGTGAAGATCACGGCCAAGAAGCGACACCGCGACCTGATCACGTTCAAGTACGGATTTCCAGATGGCGACGGCCTGCTCATAACGGACATGGACCGCTTCCTCATCCCAAATGCGGCCGAGGTTACGGCATTGATATCGAAGCTCATCATGAAGGTGCTGGACAACGCCAAGTAAAATAAACCGGACAACCTCCACATGCTTTTCTTGTTTCCCCTTACCCACATCAAGCTTTATTTCATGCACAGCCGCACATTGACGGCCACTGATGAAAAGGCAGAGGCACAAAGTGCAATGCGCCGCTGCAGGCGCTGTAATTAGTTTGTAATTGGCATTGTTTTCCTTGTATTAGCTGAAATATTGTAGATCTTATTGTAAACGCAGGCCTGGCTACAACTGTAACATAGTGCACTCGGTGCAGAGACCGGATTTGAAGAAAATAGAGGATCGTAGTCCCAGATCACATCCCCAGCATGCCACGCCCTTGGCCCAGATTTTCTAAATTTCTAAGTGCGAAGAAAGAACTCTTACCGAAGCCTTGAGACTTACAACGTGTACATGAAGAGAGTAACTAATATTTATTGCAATCAAACCAAACAAATAAAACTGTATTATGATCGAGACAACAAGTTGTTACAGTCGCTTCGCCTCTTCGGTGTGCCTACACTTCCTGTTTTTCCAGCAGGGGAAGATTGCAGGTTGTGGTGCCATTCTGTGAACCCTGGAGGCCATTGACTTCGTTGACTGGCTGTTGGGCCTGTTTTCTCCGATGAGTGCGATATAACCAGGTAGCCGAAACGAGAAGGGCGATCAGCAATATGACTGGGCACACAGCGAAGACCACCATTGGATAATCTCCGACTGCTTCCAGTTTTTTCTGATTCAACTCCAGCTGGCCCACAATCGCCAGTAGTCGATTAAACGATTCCATGGTCACTAATTCCCGGGAGGATTTGGCGGTCATCTGCAGCGAAGCATAACCTTTTCTCGAAGGAATTCTCTTCTGGGTTTCTCCTTGGAGGGTGACAGTTGGACTGCGCACCACACAGTCGCTTTGAATGCTCAGGATTCCACTGCCGTTTATTCTGAGCTCCTGTCTCTCGCCAGAGCATACTCCTGTTAAGGTTAGCTCCTTGGTAAGGGCCACCATCCAGGAGTTCGGTGCCACCATGGGTGTCCACAGACTCTTCTCCGCCACTGGACGGAAGGTGCAGGCTCCGGAAGACTGGTTCCGTATGGCCGCCAGGGAGCAGGCACAACTGTCATCCCCAGTTCGGTAGGTAATGTAGACGATGCAGACGAACCTCTCTTCGCTCAACTCGATGCAGTCGTCCAAGTTCTGAAGTGGGAAATACCTGTCCAGGTGATCGTTGACACCCAGATAGGGCGTTTCCGTGTCCACCAGTTGGATTTCGTCATTATTCAACCGTGGAATGGGTGTCAATCGGTAGATATTAAAAATCTCCGCATCGATCAAGGGCACTGTGATTAGGAACACCACGTGGTTGCCCCACTGCACCGGAACTACGGAGGCGAGGAGGTAGATATCCCGGATTGAGAATTTCTCGAGGGACAGCCGTCCACTCCGTGAAATCATTGCTTGCAGCTGATTGATTGAAAGGACAAGAGGACTAAGTTTCCGCTGGTGGGCGGAGAATAGGGCTTCAGTTATGGCATTCTGGGAACTTTTTAGTATGCTGCCCAGAAGGTATAGATAATGCTTATTCTGGTCTACGACTTGAAAGTCAATATCGAGTTCCTGAAGACCTGCGTTTATAACGTTAATGGAGCTGTCAATGCAGGAGGATGAGTTCCCAATCTTGCTAGCCACGTTCTCTTCCTCTAAAGAAAGTCGTCCGACCTTAAAGTCCAGCTGGTTATTCGTGTCAAGAATACTATCCGCAAACTCTGTTATATCCTGAATATCCGGACAAAGATGCATGTTCCTTTCGCAGATATCGACAAGAGACTTGTATAACTTTTTGAATAATTTTACGGCCGGATAAAGCGACTCCAAGTTGAAGCTGGCACAGAATTTCCAGTCTCTAGTTGCTAGGAATGCCTGACCGGTGTGCTCCACGAAGGTGCCCAGGCTGTTGTTGAATCCCCTCATCGCCATTGGACCTCCGATCTCGTCCCGATCAACTGGAGTTCCATGGGCGAGCGCCATCAGTACCAGCAACACCACACTTTTCGCTTTCATCTTTCGCTTGTAAAGCTGCTTGTAGCCCAAGGTTCCGCGCTCTACTGAAAGTACGTTCCTGAGAGCTAAGGTGGGAAAGGTGGAGCACATATGTTTAATTGCTGATGGGGCAAAACGATCGGATTAATATGCACAATATCCATATTGCAACTTTTTGCAAGTCCAGCACCGAGAAAAGTGCATTAGCCTGGGTTTCAGACTGCATTGTTTACAACAAACTATTATGTCGGACTGATTTTGGCAGTTGGGTGTTAAAAAGGAAATATAAACTTAATAAGTGTATAGCAATTTACATAACAAGCAGTGTCATAGCGGCATAGCCATCACCACAGAGGCCCACCGATGCGACCAGGCAGTAACGCAGCTCTGTGCAGATCCGACGCAGGCGCACTGGAGGATTGGCTCGCTGCCGCGCCAGGGAACTACGTAAGCAGGCTCCTCCGAGCCTCGCAGTCTTTATCAATGAGAGTGACGTAGGTTGTGTGCAGACCGGATAGGGATTCGGTCGGCGGGCGGAGGTGGGTGGCACTTGAATGTGGTCTGCAAGCCAACGGCCGACGGCACGGAATCGGGGCAGTACGTTAAAAACTGTTGCACTGCGTCGCTGGGACGTCAGTTCATTCAGAACAGTCGAAGTGCGCAGACCACTGGGAGCCAAAGAACACCGGGAGAAACCAGGCCAGGAGTCGAAGTCGACCTCCCACCTCCAGCCAGATCCGATTCCGTATCCTATTTGGGACACCACCAGGTGCAAGTGAAGTGCCGCTCGCCGTCGACATGCCACGCATCTCGTTGCCCGGCAGCAGTCTGCTGCTACTCCTGGCACTGATCCTGTGCCTCAGTCCTTCAATCCGGGCGGTGCCCGCCTCCGTGCTCGCCCAGGACACGGAGCTCTCCACCAGCGCCAGCCATAAGCTCCACCAGCAGCAGCAGCAGCAGCAACAGCCGGCCGCAGGTGAGTGCCAAAGTTCAGTCCAGGTGGAGCAGCAGCTCCGCCCACGCCCACCCTTAATGCCAAAGGTCACTGGGAAAATGCGAGTTTTTGAAAAATGCCCGGCCCGAGGCGCAACCTGCTCGTCGTCTGCGTGGGTGGGCTGCTGGCTTCTGGGGTCGGGCATCCGCTCGAGTGGATCCGCTCCATCTTGGAGCTCATCTCATTTAGCATTTTCCATTTTCCATTTCCCATTTCCCGCTCGTCGTTCGCTGTTCGCTGTTTCTGCCAGGAAATTGCGTAGGTGTTTTACGCCAGGACGACAGCTGTCGTCCTTTTGAATGCCCCGCTTCTAGAGCGATTTACAAATTTCCATCCTGCGGTTGTTTTTCTTGCACTGGCTAGTGAATCATTACTGTGCCTGCACTGCGCGAAGCGATTCTTACTTAATTGTTTGCCTTCTTGGAGCAAGTGGCTAGCTGGACCCACTCTAGAATGAAAACAGCCAAATAAAATGAGTGGTACGAGTAAAAAATAAACTCCTGTAATTTTCACACAAGCCCTAAAAAAGTCAGCTGCATAAATAATCTACAAAAAGTAATGTTGCCTGCTTTTCGTTAGCTTGAAAGAAGATTTCGTTGCTGCGGAAATGCTCATCTAACATATGCTAGTCAGAATACAGTGCCCCGATTTCTCCCAGTGCAATTACATCGTTCATACATGTAGCGCAGAGCTCACCCACACAGGCACATGGGAACCTACAGCGCAGTTAAACATCGCGTAGGCGTTCGCCACACAAAATGGCTGCCAGCCTCCTTTGTGCGAGTGTGTTAGTGAGTGCGTGTGTGTGTGTGTGTGTGTGTGTGTGTGGGTGGGGGGGCCCTCCATGCTGTTAAAGTGTGCGTACGTGCGCGCGATTTCATTTCTATTTTTAGAAAGCGAGTTAGGCGAAAGTTTTCAGCCCCTTCTGCTGCTGCTGCTCCTTCTGCTCGCCTGGCGCCGTTCGCCTAGCATCGCCTTTCACCACATCTTGGGAGAAAGTGGCGCCCAACTCCGCCCAATCGCCGCCCACTGCCACCGCAGCACTGAGCCCTTAAGTAGGCAGCCAGCTCAAGCTGTTAAGCCTTTCCGATGCCGAGTAGAATATGCGTTCGTGTGTGCAACACGTTCGTTGGCCCAAACCGCAGAGCATAGGGCCAAAAGCAGCGGCGCTTGGTCAGATGTCAGTCGCCAAAAGCCAACGGCAGCCACATCAAAATGTAAAAGGCAGCTTCCCAGAAAGGGGGAAGCCATTGGGGTGGACAGCTTCTACCGGCTTCAAAAGGTAGCCAGTTAAAATGTAGGAAAGTCGGTTAAAAGCGGACATACTTTCAGACAGTTGCACAGCTATGGTCTGATTTCTATAAGATAAATTACTAAATATAATTTGGGCGTGAAGCAAATCTCTAGGGATTCAAACACACGACTTCAGTCTTCCGAGTTCTTAAGGAGCTTTATGGAGAGCTATTTCATAGCTACTTGCAGGCACTTCCCACTTCCTGGAAAGCACTAACAGATTTCGCCCCACCACAGTGCGCCCTAAATAGATTTATCAAGCCCCAATGTGGGCGGAATCGTGTTTACAGAGCCACATATGGCAGCTTAATGAGCAGGGCAAACAGGCTGTTGCCTGCGAGTGTCCAGCTGTCGGCACTCCTGGCACTCTTCAAAATGCAAAGTGAAAACAGGGTCCACCCCAGCGATTAATCCACGCAGCGCAGTCAAGTGGGCGCATTAAATATTTATAAAAGCAGTGGCTGTACTCGTGGGGGCATCCCGGTTGGCACTGCACCCCACTCCAATCCCATCCAATCCCATCCAATCCCATCCCGAAGCCACAGGCTCCCAGCGCATTTCCATGCGCTGGACAAATTTGTCCATATGCCGTGGCTATTAAGTTATTTCTGTGCGGGGCTGAGAGAAACGCCCAAGGACTTGGCCGTGGCGTTAATTGTGCCCATGTTCATGTTCATGTTCTTGTTCATGTCGCGCTGTCTGTGGTGGCTCGACTTTTCCAACAGCTGCTATCCACCCACCACCCCCTAATCTCTGCGCATGTGTGTGTGTGCGGGGAGCAAACAACTTGTTGATACTTTTGCAGTTCAGTGAACAGCCTGGAAGCGGAGGCAGGAGACCGAGGACGACGTCAGCCAACGTCAGAGCTGCCAGCTTTTCACTTATTTATTTATTCAAGTACCCGGCCAGCAGCGCCCCATTGCCATGCAACCACCGAACCACCGAACCACCCAACCACCCAGGGTGATGGACATCCGAGAGCAGGACATTTGCCACACATAAACATATTTGAGGCACGGGCGTGGGCGGCGTGGAGGCGAAACACGAGCATTGTGGGCATTAAATGACTGCGAGTACTGGGAAGCGTTTAGCCAGCGGGTTTCAGGAATTGTCCACTGGCCAAGGACTCTGGGGAACTCTCGCGAACTGGGTTACGCGTAATCCATAAAGTGTGTCGCCTTCAAGAACGTGGAATTTTAAGAGCTCGACTAGAATTTCGCTGTTTCCCGGAAGGAACTCAATATATTAGTCATCACATTGAAAATAAGCGTATCAAAATAGCTTTCAAGGGTATCTAAATGCGGGGCTTCTGTTAAATACGTCATGAGCTACTTTTCAGTTTCGATTCAGGTGGCTAAAAGTATGCAGCAGATACAAAATGTTGGCTAGTGCTTTGAATTTCCAAAATATATTCCAGGTATCTGCAGAGTAACTTTATCCAAACCGCTAGTCATTTTATGGATCCATTTCCAGATAGGCGTATACTTTACCACCTGCCCTTTCGATTGGCACAATCCCATAACACATTAATCACTGGGTCGTATAAATCATGGCTTTCGGGTATCTGCTCCACTCCACTGCACTACATATGCGATATCTCACTGCCCATAATGATAGAGATAGGGAAATCGAGAGATATGCCGCATCCAAATCCGCTGCAGGGGAGTTTAACGAGTTTGTTGTCACGATCGGAGTTGGAGTAGCCGGCCATGAGGAGGGCTCGTGTCAGGTGCTAACTGCATCCTAATGGGCGGCGGCCAGCGCTCGATTATGGCCATCAAGCGATCCGAGATATTAAAACCCGGCCAATTAGCAGGCCAACTGTTGCGCAAAGAACCCCATTTTGGATTGGATGGGATTGGATGGCAGTGGGGCGGCAATACGATTAGGACTAATAAGGTCAGAGCTCGGGGGATAAACTATACTCGCACATAAAGCCGGCTGTCAGGGCGCTAAAAGCAATTAGCCCAGACCGAGAAATATGCTCGGGCGTATAAAACAATTATGGTGCTCGTTCTGCGGACGGCGGCTAATTGGTTTTGCGGTCACTTCTCGGCTGCGGCCACCGGCATGCGAATTTATTGAATCAGCCCCCGGGCAAATGGGAAAATGGGCAGTGGGAAATGGGAATGGAAAATTCGAGTGGCCCAGAATGGCAGCGGGCCGTGGAAAATTTCAATTTCAATTTCAATTTGCGTTACTCACTCCCGATGCCCTGCGCTCCTTATTCCGCCGCACAGCGAAACGCTCCGAGGAGGCGAGTGCCGTGCCCACGGCGGACAAGAAGTCGAGTCCGGAAATTGTGCCCGCTTCCTTCAGCAACGCTCCGTCGGCCCGGAACAACCCCGTTCCGGTCTCCAGCCAGCAGCAGCAACAGCAGCAGCAGCAACAGGCGCCGTCCGGAGTCTACGCCCTGCCCTCCAACGAGGAGATCCTGGCCGCCGTGGCGGCCGCCGCCCAGAACAGCCAGCAGCAGCTGCAGGAGGAGCCCTCCGCGCTGGAGGAGGCGGTGGCCAGCTCCACGATGCGCAAGCGGGGCATCAACTACGAGTACAACCCGTACTCGGTGGCCTCCAGCGACTACGGCAGCGACGTGCCCAGTGGCGTCTGGTCCGACGACTACGAGGCCGCCGTGCCCGTCAGCTACGGCGAGCGGGATCTCCAGGAGATCGACGACTACGTGCCTGAGCGCAGAGGTGCGTCACATCCTTTACCACCGAGTAATACTAACTATTTGAAACTGAATTCGCAGTGGGTGGCTCCAGTGCGCGCAACAAGGCCTACGACAATCTGCAGAACCTCCTGAATGCCGAGGCCTACCTGGAGAGCATTCCGCTCTCCGTGCCGCTGACCTATGCCAACCGGAACTACAACCTGGATGACCGCAGCAAGCGCGGCGTCTACTACGACGTGGCCACTCCCGGCGGCAATGGCGCCAGCAGCCTGGGCAGCGCAAGTGGCTACAATGGCGAGGGCATGAGCCTCAGCAAATACCGACGATTTAACGACATGCGGTGAGTAAAGGCAACGCGGCGTATGCGTAATATTGTATACATCCAACCTTATTGCTTATCCTTAACCTGGCTCTCTGCTGCAATCCCAGACTGAAACGCGACACCCAGCTGAACCCCGCCGACATGCTGGCCCTGGTCGCCCTGGTGGAGGCCGGAGAACGGGCGCGCAAGGAGAGCGATGTGGAGAGCGCCGGACCAGTGCCCATGATCGCCTCCGATGACCTGGACTACGTGCCCGCTGGCAGCTGGTTCGATGTGCCCGTGCAGGCGGATTACTACGGCGCCGGAGTGCCGCTGGACAGCCAGAACCAGGCGATGCCCAAGTACGAGTACGTGCCGCGGCAGCACAAGTACAGCGGAGTCAACAGCCGTAAGTTGGGATTGGGCGGGAACCGGGATGGCTGGTAGTGTGCTAACACGATCGATTATCTTCCCAGGATTCGGCTCCTCCAAGCAGCGCTACATGGTGGCCAAGAAGAAGCGCTCGGTGAGCCAGAGCCAGTTCATGAACGAGCCGGTGGCCGACCGCGGATCCAGCTATAATGGCGAGAAGTACTTCTAAGGATACCGCGCGCAGATAGTCTAGTTGTACTTAACGATAGCCACAGGCCCACGAAGAGTATTTCTCGTTTTTTTGAGCATTCAACATATGAGCATAATCCAAGAAACCAAAAACAAAACAAAAAATCCAAATTTCAATTTGTAATTCAATTATGGTAATGAGCTAGTGTCAAGGTCAACTCGTGTGCAATTTTTGTGTAGAACTTCAATTTTAAACCAACTAACGAGAATTAAACTATTGTCGACACTAAAGTGGTGCGTCAGGAACATAATCAATCAGTGCTTAGGATTTTGTCCCGCGGAATCCGCACCGAACTAAACCGAATCTATATCTACGCCACCTAATCCCTGTAAGAAATCGGTGTCTATGGCAACTAATGTACAACTGAAGTACAACTACTGGAATCCAGCGGAACCGCAACTATCCGTATCTACTTGTGTAATACTTATCGAACTAGAGGCTTCCCGACTAGTACAAAATCGAGAGGAGAACGTCAAATATGAACATATATATATATATCAATCTTAATCGAGCTCAGAAGCTGCAAGGCTCCTCTAACCGCTTTAATTTAATCCAAGCTGAAGATAAAGCCAACGCCAAGCAAAATATTTTTGATGTTGTTTGAAGCCATCACATTCGAACTACACTTTTTATAAACCCGCGCCGACTTGGGGACAAACGATCTGACAATTGATGAGAATTTTAATCGTATATAGCGAATATCCGCAGCTAATATGTTGGTAAAATATATATAACTATACGTATACAATATGCTAAACAATTTGTCGAAATTAAAAAATGGCTCAGGGCATAAATATTTGAAATATTCTATGCCGACGTAGGAGGAGGCGTATCTCTAATTTGAACGAAATTGTCTGACTGTTTTTGGTAATAATCAAATATACATACATATGTACTATGAATATGGTAAAATAAATTATATTATACAGAGGTACACTCGACGACGAGTACTTGAAATGCATAAATAGCGAATATGTGTGTGTGTATACAATACAGAATCCAATACAATCCAGAATACATATATACACCAATATAATGAACACTCAAGTAACTTGAATATTATATACTTTCCTCACTCCTTTGGGTCTCTGAATATTTGGCCTTTGATTTACGCCTTAAGTTCTTTGCGCGAGCTTAGTTTGAAGATACATTTATTTACAAGCAACTGATTTACGATTAAATAAAACACGTCTTTGGTTTGAAAACCAACCGAAATGGGATGAATGGGCAGTTTGGAGTTTGCAGTTTGGAGTTGGGAGTTGGGAGGCGTCAGTCCATTGACCCGGAAACCAATTGGCCATTCCCAATGCCAGAAATTTCAATCAAATTGGGCGGCTAGAGCACTTTCCCACCCATATCGAATCAAAGAAATGTGTCAATTCAAAGCTTACAGCCATCGCCATCAGTTACAATTAGGGGAATTTGTGTTTTCAGCTGCGCAGTAGCCGCCACTCAATGAAAAAGTCATAAAAATCATTTTCCACTTCTACGTTTGGTTGCCAACCAAACGAATCGAAGACGAAAGTTTGGAAGGAAAGTTAAGTAATGGGAAATTGGGAGGCAATTCAATGAAGACCAATTAACAACTAGACTTCTGGGTTCTCTCAAACGAAGTGTGTGCCAAAAATTAAATAAAAACCAATTGGCCTTCGCACACGCGTTGACATCCATCGCAATTCGGATGGGTTTCATCATCGGAACGCGCCGTATTTTGTGGTTCTCCAATGTTCCGTGCGAGTCCCCATTAAAGTGCGGCATGTCCGCAAAAAACTGGAAAACTAGAAAACTAGAAGGCCGTGAAGCCTCCATTGTGGCCACTGCGAATGGGAAACAAAGCTCTGGTCCGGACGCCAGATGAGTCCAACTTTGTGCAAACAGCGCTCCAAATGGCCATAAACAATGGAACCGCCATAAACACCTAGCAAATAAACAAAACAGGGCAGTTACGTAGCTGGGGTGCAGATACCCAAATGCGTTTGACACGAGCGCTCTGCTTTTTATTTATTTAAGAGCGAATCTATGGGATTCACTATCACAATGACTGCGGCATGCCCTTCCACCAACTTGCACTAAATGCAAGATTGTACTTTATGCAAGTTATAGCATCAACCAAATCAAACTTAGTTGGAAAGTGTTTCACTGGTATAGCAGATTGTATGCCCAATTGTTACCATATGGCGGGCCAAACTAAATAGGCACGAAAAGCGGCATTAATATGTATGGAGTGTGTGCAAGCGATGGCCAGCGATTGCAGGAGCATTGGAGCCTGAAGATTGGGGCGCTTGAATGGCAAGTGGAGGGACATTTGCATATCTCATCAGCAAATGACCAGAAAGGAAAACATGCTGGCCAACGGGGCGAGCAGCAGCCTTAATAAATGCGCTTAAAGTTAATTTCCCTATGAATACAACCAGAGTTAACTACTCACGACTCTTCCCCAATGGGAAGCACTTGTTCTAGCGATGCCCCCACGGGCAGCACGATTTCGCACCTCTTATCATGAGATTAATCTGCTGCAGAGGCCTTAAGATTGGCGTTAATTAGCCAGCCAAATAGGAAATTCACTTCGATTCATGGAAACTATACTAAGAACTATTCATAAAAATATAATTGATGCTTTTGATGGGGCTATCTTCATGGGCCATTGGGTCTGGAGCGTCTCCCAAATTTATACTAATTTCATGCACGCGTTTTGCATGCTTAATAACCGCTTTATATACGGCTGGATTTTGCCCACCTGTGGAAGAATTATATCTGGGCGGTTTTGTTTTTCTGTTGAGTAAGGCCGTCAGATTATACAATGCATTCAAATCAATTGCAGGTAGAAAGTAGCTTTACTTCCAAAGAACTTCATGGCGGGATTGTTATTAATACATTTATAAATTCAAAGCAAATAGCTCCAAAAGCTGATCAGCATTTAATTAAAATTCGGACGACATGGCGCATAAATAAGCCGTTTGAATGGTTATTTCCCCTTCATTCGGCAGTCTTTCGAAATGGGCTCAAACACGGCTGTGGACCATTGGTATGCGGCATGCTGGCCAAGTTAAATGCGTGGGCTCATTCGAAAAAGCCAACTTCCCAGGACAGCAACCCAGCGGCGACTCGAACCCAGGCTATCTAATGGCAACCATGCAATTGAATGTGCGGCACATGAAATTGAACGACGGGTGTGGCGCGTTCTGAATGCGGCAGTGGAGTTTGGGGTCTGGGAGGGGGAATATCGTCATCGGGTTTCGGTATGACAAACCGTTTCCGAACCCCCAATACACGAAGTCCCAAAGATACGCGCCAAACGACAGGCAGGCCAAGTTGCTCGGCGGCTCGGCGGCGGAGAACAAGATCCCAAAACTCGGGACCCACCACCACAAGTACTTGGTCGGAAGCCCAGAAACACAGATACACACGCACACCGCCTCGAAACGAGAATTTCGTTTTTTGGGGACGACGCACAAAATCAAAGAGTATTCCAGCTAGCCGCTTCAGTTGGTGAGCAACTTTCGAGGCAATCGCACGTGGACTTCGATTCGGTACGGTTCGGTTCGGTTTCGAGGCCTGAGAATATATCTCAATCTGTTTAAAGAACATATTAGCATTCGCCAGCGGCAGTAAGGCCTGTATATCCCCGGAAGCCCCAAGATGACGGACGAAGTGCCCGCCAAAGGCAGCATACTGGGCAGTAAGTTGTGGCTTGGAAAGCCGAACCATCTGTTTCGAGATTGCACCAGTGGAGTGCAGCGTGCATCATGCGGCGCTGGTGCAGCTGTGCAACAAGTGGGTGGGCTGCAGCCTCTCTGGGCCAAGACACTGGTAAAAGATACAAATTTGACCTCCAAAGGTCGTTCGTGTGCGTGAGTTCCAGAAATCTTCCTTGTTCCCACCGCGTTTCTGTGTGTCTGTGTGTGTGTGTGCCACATCCTTTATGTTTTTAGGTTGCTGTGGCTTTTTTTAGATTGCCGCCCACGCCACTCGGCATATTTGATTTGTTTTTGGCGTTTTTATGCCCGTGTAGTAATGTCCGGACAAGGTCAAATGGAAGTCATAGATATAAACAATATTGGCAGTCGAATATATAGCCAATTTGTATGCGTATCCCAAACAAACGCGACATTCTTGAAATTCGTCTACCTATCCCAACAAAAGCGAAAGTTCGCCAAGCTTTTGAATGGGGTAAATAATAGTGTTTACTTTAAGCAATGAACGCGAAAATCTTATGCGGCGTTTGAAAATAAGTTTCACTTTAAAAGTTGATCTTATTCCCAAAGCTCCAATCTAAAGTTAGAAAAAGTACACAATTCCACGAAGTTAACTATTTACAAACTACATGTTTTCACTGTAGAATGTTATATTGCATCATACTTGTGAAATATTGTACATATGATATTTGATGAGTTATTTATTGTGCTTCTGAAAATAATATTGTATGATAAACCCAGAATCTCTTAGGAGTCATACACATTTAAAATGTGGTTCTAACATGTGTTTTTCCAACCAATATTTCACAGAATTGAAATCATTTATGGGAGCATTGTTTGGACCGATCTTATTTTAGCGCTCTATAGATTATTCCAAGCACTTGAGCTTTACCTCCACGCACCACCTAATCAAACAGTCAAATGGGTCTGGAAGTCTGGGGGAACTTATGCAGCATTTGACTATAAACAAATAAAGATTAAGAAAGCCTAGAAGAGAAAGTGCCAACGAAGACAGGATACTCTCACAGAACTAACTCAATCAGGAGGTATATTTCTTTAGAAACCCCAGCCTTTCTTCTACCAGCCAGCTCGTCGGCTAATGAAATGCATAAATTAATTTAAAATCTCGAAACGAAAGGGTATAGCTTAAGACATTGAGGGAGAATTTCCCCAGTATCGATGGCACAATTAGCAGATATAACTAATCGAGTTGTCGGTTGCTCGAAAGGCCCTGAAAGTGAAATTGAAAACACTGGCGACCAATTTATACCCCTTGTTATCGCAACGCGCACTCATAATTGCTGGACGTGATTGACCCCCCCCCACCGATTCCAAAGGGGGTGGCTTATATCAATGCGCGTGCGGCGGCTCCCTATACTGACCCTACCCAACTGCGGGCAATCAGCGACTGCTCCATGTGGAACTCGTGGGTCACCAGGTGATGGGGGTCTGACCAGCCAGTTGGTGTCATGCCCCTATAAATACCTTTATGGGGCAGGATTACCACCACTGTCTTCAGATGTGTGCCCTTCCGTCCTTTTAATGCATAAACAACAGCGAACGCGAGTGTCGCGACTATTACATACCCGTTACTCAAATGGTACGGACAGGCGGACGGACGGACATGGTCAGTTTGACTCAGCTAGTGGTGCTGATCAAGCGAAACTGCTTCCTTCTACCCGTCAGATACTTTTCAGCTAAGCCGGTATACCCTTTAACACTGCAGGTAACGGGTATAACCAATTTCTTAACTTGCCAAATGGTGTCATTTGGCGTTCCATGTCATTGCTAATGGAAACTAGTCGAGCAGGAATTAAATTGGACGATATGAATATCATCGGCATTAATCAAATTGACTTGTCAAGCAAACCAACCGAATGACTTTGCATTGCACTATCCATCGACCAAAATGTCCGCATCAAGTAGCAAAAAAGATTTAAAAGGAACTCACCATCTATTTTCCAGAACTCGTGCCCGCCCGCTATGTGCTGGCCCTCCTGGGGTCCATCGGCATGGCCATTGTCTACGGCCTGAAGGTGAATCTCAGCGTGGCCATGGTGGCCATGTTGAACCACACAGCCATTAAGGCCCACGGAGGCGGAGGTGGACATGGCAGCGTTACCCTCTCGAACGCCTCCCAAGTGTCCCTGGTGGAGGAGTGCAGCCCGCCGGGCGGAGCCTCCAATGTGACGGCTAAGGTGGAGGGCGGACCCTTCGAATGGAGCGAGCCCCTGCAGGGAACCCTGCTGAGCTGCTACTTCTGGGGCTACTTGGTCTCGCAGATTCCGCTGGCCCACGTCGCCGAGAACTTCTCCGCCAAGTGGGTGATGCTCTTCTCGGTGGCCATCAACGTGGTGTGCACACTGCTAACTCCCGTGTTTACCAAACTGCATTACGGAGGTCTGATTCTGATGCGAGTGCTCGAGGGCGTCGGCGGCGGAGCCTCCTTCCCGGCCATGCACGTGATGATCGCCTCCTGGGCCCCGCCCAGCGAGCGCATGGTCATGTCCACCATCATCTACGTG